CACTATTGACTTTGATTCCCGACGCCAAGCTCTCGGAATTCCAAAGATTCTTGGACTGGACTATGTGGTGGATAAAGAATATCAGCCATGGTTACTTGAAGTCAATCGATTTCCTGGGCTCGAACCACGAGATGACAGCGACCGCATGGTGAAGCATCAAATTGTACGCGATGCGTGGCTATGTGCCCACGAGAGAATGTCGGGAAACAAAGATGTAGAGACACAACCATTTACTACTGGTAACCACCATCCCTTACAATACATTTTGGATCATTTGCCTCTTGTTTCCAAGGATTGCCCGTACACGCTTGAGAAAATACGCTAGTATTCCTTTGTTGTCCATCCACAGAAGAGTATGTGGTAAACATTGATCAGTCTTCATTAAGATTGTAGAAGAGGGCCAAGGAAAGAGGGCGTACGTAATATCGTACTGTATATGACCACCGCTGTTCCCAAAATTGTAACGAAAATAGGCTCCTTTCGTCAACATAACAGTACCGCAGTTGATATTATCATACAGTAGAGAACATGATTAGTTGTAATTGAAATCATGCAGATTTCCTGCCGACGAACTTGGCGGCAACTTGTGAGAAGTCGGCTATTCATCAGAGAAAATTCCTACAGTTTCTTCCAATGAAAACCACACATCGTCGGTATAGTAACTACTGACCTCTAGCGCATTCACGATTGGCAGGAGCGAAATGAAGAGAACCCGACTCATTGACTATCTTCGATGGGGAGCTTGCGGAAACATAGGCGAAAACAAGAACTGCGTAGCCTTTTTAAAAAATTAAATGTTCAACCGCGAATGGTAAGTTGAAACAATACGATTGGCAAGCGAGAAGCCATTCATGATCCTGTGTCACTTGTCCAAACCCATCTCCAATCATGACCACATCCAGTACCTCTTGCGCAGTTGCCATCTAATTCAGCTTGCGTGCAAAGCCTCGCCCCTAATCCCGAGCATAAATCGACGGCTTCGTGATGAGACACACTATTGTAACAAACCCCGCCAAGGAAAGACTCAGCGTATGGGCATGAGCTAGCCTGCTTGCTGAATCCCGGCAAACTGGTATCTGAACAACAACGAATGGCAATCTCACTGCCAGTCCCTCCAATCCTTTCATAGTTTGAGTTTTGCAGTGTAGCAGGCAAACCAGAACAGAGACCTCGACGACCGCAGGCAACCCAATGAAAGCTTGTGATTGTTGGTTCGGAGCTTGGAACATTTGTTGGTGAACGCGATGGGCTCGTAGTGGGAGTCACACTTGGCAAAGACGTAGGACCCATCGAAGGAGCTGGAGAAACTGTAGGTGATGTACTTGGAGATGATGTTGTGGGCGATGGGGTTGGTCGCTTTGACGGAGCACGAGTTGGATTCTTAGTTGGTGGTTTGGATGGAGCCCTAGTCGGTGTTGAACTTG